AAATGGAATCCTGTCATTTGCAACAAAATGATTGCAACTGGAAACCATTATGCTTTGTGAAATAAGCCAGTCTCTAAAAGACAAATATATGTTTCCTCTGCTATGTGACAGTTAATTTATAATACCAAAAATTGTCATTTTGCAATAAGATTGTTGTTTTTAATCCTTGTTTATACTCCTGTGGAACTGTAGTCATCCTACCCTTTACTTATTGAATATTATGATTATTGACAAATTAACCCTGTGAATTAAAATTTGGGCTTTTCAGAAACTGATGAAGAAAGAGGAGTAAGTGAAGGGAATTGGTAGGGGGAGAGCAGGGGAGTGAGGAAAGTGTGGTTTTGGTTTTCTTCTTGGAACTATAACAATGGAATGCATAAAAACTTTTATTTTAATAACAAAATTTAAAAAGTATACTGGAAATCATAAAAATTATTATTGATTTCTGCTTTTGGTCAGAATTTGGATTTTTGAGATATAAGGAATCTTTATTGTTTCTTTATCATTTACTTTCAGGTTTTTTAAAATTTCTGTAATTTTTTCATAACTATTTAAAACATCATTTTCTATTAATCTCTGCCTTTACTTCCATGACTCAATTTACAAATATATGTCATCCTAATTCTCTTATAGACATGAAGCTGTTTGCTATTACTTTTTGGTAGCTAAGGCTAAGTTATATGGTAGCTAAGGCTACCATACAGTGAAGATTTTGTTTATGAAATATGGTGATGGCAGAGTGCACAGATACTGTTGCTTCTTTCTTTCCATCTGAGTACTATTGCTGATGCAGACCCAGATTACACCAACATTCTTAGGAGACACAATAATACAATTAATTGCTAAAATGCAATGACCATTTACAGCATTCCAACTAGTATGCTAAGAACTTGATATTTTTATCTCCTTTTATCTTTGTAATGATCTTACCAAGTACATACCATTACAAATCTCACTTTTATCCTAAGGAGAGATGGGTTTAGAGAAATTTATGTGGACAGTACCACATATAATAACTATTGAAGGTAGAATTCTAACCCAAGTCTGTGAGAGGTTTTAACCACTGTGAAAATCTATTTTTAAATGCATGTCATACTTTCAAAATCTTGCCGAGTTTGCTTCAGTGAAATGAGTGAGGCTTTCAAATTGATTACTTCTAATTCAGATGCTACTTTTTCTACTAGACAAGCATGTAATGTCATCACATTTTATAAGTCATTATTACAGGACTTTGAAATTTATCTTTTCCTTTCGAACAACTTGTTTTTCATATTGTAACTTATTTCTCTTATCTACCACACTATACAGCTAAACAATATACTAGTGGTAGTCTGCTATCCAGAGTTTTTGCCCAGAGTTAATAATTAATAATGATCTGTTAATCAGGAATCTTTGGCAATATTTTTCTGTCATTTACAAATTCATAACAAAATTATAAGTTAGTCATTTTCCTTATTTTGTCTTTAAGAATTTTTGAGAGATGTGTAAATGTGCTTTAGTTTCACCAGTGACTTCAGATGAAGAATGTGTGAATTTATTTTCTTGTTAGATAGCCAACTAAATGATGCTTTAGAAGCATAGAGAGGAGTTTTGATGATAAACCCAAAATATTAGTATTGTCTTTTTTTCTGTTGATCCTTATGAGTTATTATAACTAGATACTTTATATCTTATAGACAGGATTAGCTCAGTTACACAGTGACAACAATTATTGACATTTATGAGGTATCTCATGATTGACATAGTCCTTTAAGTACAGTCTCACTTAGTCTCCACAGTTGTATGTAAAGTAGGTTACATTAGTCTTGTCAGTTTTACAGTGAGAAGCTAAAATTTATAGCTTGAGAGTGATCCACATTTTAACCCTCAGTCTTGTGACTCCATATCCTGTATTCTCTCTACAATGTTGCACTGCATCTCAGTGAAAAAATTGAAGGCAAAAGATGAGCACTAGCCAATGTAAGGATTGAAAGGTTATTGAATCCTTTTAGCAAGTAAATGGATAGTTGAGAGTTTAAGATTCAGCTCAAATAATTTAAGTACAATACTCATAAGGAAAAAGAAGATACCCAGAAAGAAATCATGAAGATTTTTTTCATTAGTAAAATTATTTAAGATTATAATAATATTTGGTTACCAAAAAACTTGAAGTACCCCCAAAATAAAAAATAATTGCTACAAATTCAGATTTTTAACATTAACATAGTCACTGAAGAAACTAACAAAATTATTTCTTTGAAAAATATGTTGATATTAAGGAAGTATAAGATGTCTTTAACATGTGTATAAAATCAATTGAAAATATATCTCAATAAAAAATAAGAATGGGAATAAGAGTGTGAGGAGGAAGAGAGGTTAGGAGAATGTGTGGGAGGGTGGGCACAATGGAAAGAATCAGCATGTTCCTAAAGTTGTAATTATGAAGTGTATAATGTTTGTAACCATAAAGCTGTATAGTTCTGCATACATTCCTATAGACTTACTTCTAAGGGTACAGTTTAAAAACTTGCCATGGGACCCCAAATCCCCTTAAGCTGGGTGGTAAAAATAACCACTTTAAGTGTTAAAATCATCATTTGGAAAGGATTAAGGGTCTGATAATAATAGATAGAATTAGAAAGGAGTGAATGCTCCAACAGGGGAAGCAGTCCACACAGCAGATTCATGGAATGACAATCACTTTTAAACAGCACTTTGACCTCAGAATCTGCCCTTAAGGCATTCCGGTCTGGATGAAAAGCCCACAAGAGCATTTCAGGCTTGGAAAGCCAAGACACTGTGGCAAAAAAATGTCCTACATGAAGGACCTCAGTGGGTGAGACCCCAGTGGAAAGATGTGGTCATCAACAAAGGAGGTACTATTCTCTGAAGGGAAGAGAGAACTTCCAATTTACGTATGGCCTTCTCTAAATAGTTTGTGGATTCAAAAGGCTTCCATAGCCTAGGCAGCTCATGTCAGGAGCCTCAGGTGATCACTGATGTCATACATAGGAGTGTTCATTGTTAAATTAACAAGAGGAGTCGCTGTGTACTAACTTCACTGTGAACTAACTTCCTATGCCAAACCCCTGTCCTCAAAGAGTTTTATAACTGTATCTAAGTGCTTGCAAAAGATGTATCATTCTTGAGTGCTTCTTTAAAGTTAATTAAGTTTCTACAAAAAAAAAAAAAATGAAATTCACTTCACCATGAAATGACTTTGAACAGCCCTTGTCTGAACTATTGAGGAACAGGTTTTTTTTTTTTATTTGTTTGTTTGTTTTCTTTTGTTTTTTTTTTTCATGCAAATTGTTGAACTCTTTACTTAGTATAGAATTGGTCTTCTGTATATAAAGTTTATCGAAAATGGATCTTAGTGAAAAATGAGGCTGAAAATGGGAGAGGGAGGAGGATGAGGAGTGGGAGAGAGTGGGTGGGAAGGCAGGTATGGTGGGAAAAAAAAATATTTTCCTAAATTGTACTTAGGAAATGCATAAAGTTTGTATTCCTTAAATAAAAGGTTTCTTTGGGGGTTGAAAAAGAATAAAAAAAAAAGATTTTTAAGCCATAGACTTGAGATGGGCCATTCATAGTTTCCTTTAAGTAGAACTTTTCCCTAGAAAAAGAACAAAATAAAATGGATTAAAAAGACAGTGTATGGGACTGGTATCATTGTTGAGCAAGTTGAGCCACTGCCTGTGAGGCCAGTGGCCCATATTGGCACCAGTTAAAGTCCTGGTTGCTTCACTTCCACTCCTATTCCTTGCTAATGCACCTGGGAAAGCAGCTAATGATGGCCCAATTCCTTGTTCATCAGTATCTACATGGATGAAATGCCTAGCTCTTGTTTTTTTCATGTCCCAGCCCTGGAAATTGCTGCCATATGGGGAATGAACCAGTGGATGGACTATCAATTTTTTTTTTCTGTCTCTCTTCCCCTTTCTCTGTTATTCTACCTTTCAAATAAATAATAAAATAAATCTTTAGAAAAAGTTTATGTTGGATATTTTTACACTGTGATTCACCATTTTCATACATGACATGTGAACTTGAAAGAACTCATAAATATATTTTCTAGCTAAATTAATTATTGTTAAGTAATGCTTGGAGCATATTTGTGAAATGAAGTTTGCAGTAATATAATCTTGGAAAAGAATGCAGCTTTCTTATAAGGAAATATAGATATTTATATTACAGAAATGGTTTCTCTATTTGTATTTTTAAATTAGTATTCTCATTTATCTTTTCAACTTAGTACAGTTTCAGAAAGCATCTTAATGAAATTTATTTTTACAGTGCTAAAAAATGGGAAAATATTACACTGTTGAAAAATCAAGGCTCAAAAGCTAACTAGATCTCCAAATAAATATCTGTTGTATCATTTCAGTTCTCTTTTATTCTAATAACATTCCTATGATGAAAAATAACCCGATTCTATTCAGGAAAATAAAGTGTAATCTCATTATACCCTTAGATTTTATTATTCCTTGATTTAATTTTAGCTTTACTTTGAGGAAACTAGAATTTTGCCCTCAAATGTTTTTATATTTTAGGAATATTTTACCCAGAGAAAATATGCTATGGATAAGGTGAAGATTTTATATATTTTTTCAAATACTCCCTTATTCCTATGCAAAATTTGCTAATTTGAGCACATGTTTCTCAGTACTCCATGATTTATGGTTATAGTCCACATGCTATTTTAAGAAAGTCTTGGAAACTGAAGATTCTACACAGATGTTTTCCAAGTGAATTAGAATATTCAATGCATTTTACAATTTATCCTAAATGTCCATGTTCTTTTCACAGATGAAGATGAGATCAGGAGTTACACTTTTTTTTTTTTTTTTAAGAACGAAGTAATGAGAGGGGCAGAGGAATGAGAGGGAGAAAGAAATAAAGAGAGAAGAAAGAAATGAGAGAGACAAAACTTTGATGCTGTTTGTGTATATCTGTCATAGCAGGATTAGGATTCATCTTAAGCCTCATGTTTCTTTTTCTTTGTACTTGTTTCCTTGTAGGAGTGTTGTGGTGCCAGTAAAGAAGCCACCTCCAGGTAGTTTAGCTGTAACCACTGTGGGAGCCACCTCTGCGGGAAGTGGGCTGCCAACAGGCAGTGCCTCTAATATATTTGCTGCCACGGGAGCTACACCAAAAAGTATGATTAATACAACAGGTATTGTCCTTATATATTTTTGTGATACCTCATCTTTTTCTTTCTGTTTTCTATATCTTCATTTTACTGCTTATAGGATCTCAAAAATTAAAATCCTCTGATCATTTAATAGTATCTTAATCTTTAAGAAAGATTAAACTTTATGTTATGATTTTCACTATTGCACTTTAATTCTAAATTACAGTTTTTAGTCATCATTTTAGGGGGTACTGATTTTTGTTTTGAGTCCTCTCAAAACACGATGTTTATGTTGAGAGTGAGAGCAGGTATTTGAAAGATTTAGGGGAGCAAAAGCAATAACAAAATTGAACACTGAAGTTCGATGTACAAATATTAAAATAAATTGTATCAAGAATATCAAAGTGTACTAACAATATTAGTGAAAGAAAATGTACTTGGTGATATTTACTGTTGAGTCATAATGTATTTTCTTTGCTAAATCCCCTAAGGGAAGGCAGAGCTCCCCTAAGAACCTTGACGATATGCAAGAGCCTCAACTTGATAAAAAAATGTATGTGAATAATAACCATTGTTTGACATTGAATTAATTTATGTATGTCAGTTACAACTGTATACAATTCATTGTCCAAAATTTCCTAATGATTCTAGGAACCAAAAACTCCAAATCACTATAAATTTTAAAAGCCTACCTAAAAGAATATCTTTTTTTTGTAAATTTCCAGAAATGTTCCTGTTGATTATTAGCTAAATAAATCCTTACCCAAATCTTTGTGATTCCATTTTAGGTATTTATACAACGCAAGATGATCCCTGACTTTTCTTCCCTGACTATAGTAGTCTTCTCTTCTCCAAACTGTATAGCCTTGAACTTTTCCATTTATTATCATTACTTAGATTCTTCCCATTTTTATTAATTTGTAGCTCTTCTTTGTGCTTTCTGTATCTATCTTGTTTATCATACCACCTGAGTGTGACATATCATGAACAACACATTTATGGGGTTGTAGTAAGTAGAATGTACTCTATTAAGCATATCTTTATTAGCAAATAAATATTGTTAATGGCATTGTGTTAAAGAATATAACATCTTTAATTTATATTATAAATAAATATTTATATGATTTGCCTGACTTGTCTAAAGACTTTCAGGTCATTCTATTTTTAATATTATTATTTATATTCATTTGGCTCTCTCAAATTGAAATAAAACAAATTTTCTTTTATCAAAATTTTACCCAGAATTTTTTTTAATGTGCTAATGTAGTAAGAAAAAAATCTGTGTTAAGTATTATTTATCAAGTAAACAGTCCTGACTGCTATTAAGAGCTAAGTAAATGGAAAATTAAATCACTACTTTTTTAAATCTTTGTATGAGACAAGTCATGATGCTTTCTATTAATTTTTCTTTTAAGAATTATTAATAGACATAGTAAATAATTACAGCAAGAGGTTTAGTGATAGTATAATTATGCAATATTACAAGGAAAAATAAAATATAGTCAATAAAGTTTCTCCTTGGGAGGAATAAAATTCATGAGCCAACATCTAAACTGGACTTCCTATCCAGTTTACAAGTTGGCATCTATGTGCTTTATAAAGGTTATAATGGAAATCCTGGTAAGCAGTTGAGTTCTGTGGGAATCAGTATGAGGTATGATAATATTTAGGAACACTAGATGTCCCTCAACTCCATAGCTATGTAACATATTTACATTGCATATGAATATTGTAGAAAAATCTGTTCTAAAATAGCATCTTCATATCATTGAGGAAAATTCCTTATTTTAAAACTGGTTATAATTATATTCAAGTATAGGCCTTCTTAAGCAATAATTTTATTGAAATAAACATTTGATAATACAGAGCCACAAATTTATGCTCAGATATAATTCATTATAAATTATAGATGTTAAAAATTGCAATAAAAAGATAAATTTTCATGTTCAAATTTACATTGTTTTATCAGCCTCATTTTACCTAAAAGTTTTTCATTTGTTGATGTCTTTTATTTATACCCCATGTGTAATATGTAGTTTTGTTAGACTAACATAAGTAAACCAACTGGGTCTCAATACAATAGCTATTGGTTAAAATTATAAAAAATTAAGAGTATGCTAATAATCAAATAATTTTAATTGATGAGGTCTGTTTTGAAATTCAATATGAGTAATATTTCAAAATCAAATAGTATGATATAATTAATATTGTTTTATTAAATAATTGTGTTTAAGGCTAAAATTATTATTTTGGGAACAGGTGCCGTGGATTCAGGGTCTTCCTCCTCCTCCTCCTCTTCTAGTTTTGTGAATGGTGCTACCAGCAAAAATCTTCCAGCTGTACAAACTGTTGCTCCAATGCCAGAAGATTCAGCTGAAAACATGAGGTGTGTATAACTATTTCTTTTTTACTCATCTTTCTCATTTTACTCTTCCTCATCTTTTGTCTCTCTCCAGGTTTTTATCACAGTGAAACAATACACTGTAAAAGCATAGATATGGTAAGAATTCTTAGAAATGTAGGTTAATTATGTATTTTGTGATTGTATTTCATAATTGCATTATATTTGTATTCTAGGCTTCTTGTTAATTATATGAAAATCAGCATTATTATCTTTGTAAGAGACCTTGTTTAAGATGATGACTGCTAAATTTGTAATCTATTGTCATACTTGCTACTATTTCTAATAAAGTTTAAATATGCACAAATAGTAACATGGCAGAATTGAACATCTTTGGAGGGTGATGAAAATTTAAAATACATACTTTGAAATTAGCTCTGCCAAATTAAGTATAAAATATATCATGAAACTTGAATAATGGAACATGTCTATGTGATTAAAGAGCATATATAAAAGAGACTGGCCATCATTCTTGGAGTTAAACTGTGTGTGTACGCACATACACGTGTTCATATATATATTCATAATTTTAATGGAAGTATGGTCCATCCCCTGTATCTATATATTCTGCATCTACACATTCAACCAATCACCATTCACAAACATTTTTTATCAAAGCTGAACACATAAAAACTTTGTTTTCTTGTCATTATTCATTAAACAATATAGTGTAGTAACTATTTAAATAGCATTTACTTTATAGTAGTAATTATAATTCATCTAGATGTGATTTAATGTGCATAGTTTATATGCAAATAATACTCTACTTTATCTAAAGGACTTGCGAATCTTTTTCAGATTTTAATATCCATAGGGAATCCTGAGATCTCTGATGGATACCAGGGGATAATTATATAACACAAATACAGTATAATAGCTCAATGAAAGAATTATCACATTCATGTTGCAATCACCCAAATCAAGAAACAGACTGTAACAAATACCCCAAAAATCTCCACTATGTGCCCCTTTCCCAATGTTCTCATTCCTCTTAAAATTTTTCACCCTGGTTTTTAACTAGGACAGTTTTGTATACTTTGGATTTATATAAATGCACATACATGGTATATATTCTGTTGTCTCTGGCATCTTTTGTTCAACATATGACTCCTCCATATTCAGTTTGTTCATTCCTATTCCACATTTCTTCATTTGGTTATGTACACTATTAATTTATTAATTCATTTCATTGTGATGTGCATTTGATATTTATATTGTTTAGCTATTAAAAATAATACAACTACACAGATAAAAATATTATTTGTCATTATTGTGCATTAAATATTACTGTGTGAGTACACCACACTTTAGTATAGCCATCTATTATGTAAATAATGTGGACCGGAATTGCTGATACCTAGTGTTTGTGTACACCCAGATTAACTAGATAATGACGAATGTATTGTCAAAATGGTTATACAAGGTCACGAGTCCAACATCAGAATATGAGAGTTTTGGTGGCTTCATGTCATTGATAGGACTTAGCATTGTCAGCCCCTTTCATTATATCTATTTTTGTTGAAGCTTAGTGGCATTCTGTTCTATTTTCAGTTTGCATTTTCCTGATGAATAATACGATCGAGTAACTTTTATATATATTACTGGTCTTTTTTATTCCTCTTTTGGGATGTGCATGTTAAAATATCTAGTTCTTTAATGATTGGCTTTTTGTATTAATTTGTAAACTTTTTCATACCATTGCAAAATAAGCCCTTTAATGATTATATGACATGAATATATCTTCTTCACTTCTTTTTATCTATCTGGTCTGCTTTGATCAGTGGAAGGTGTAAATTTTTAAGAAATTCAATTTATCAGTTTTTTTTTTTTTTGGTAAGTGCTTTCTTGCATTGCATAATTCTTTGCCTACATTTTCCCTACCTTGTCTTCTGTTTAATTTTTTGCTTTTATACTTAGAAACATAATATATCTGGAATTAACTTTTTAAAATATAATGTTTGCGGGTGCCGCGGCGCAATAGGCTAATCCTCCGCCTGTGGCAGCGGCACCCTGGGTTCTAGTCCCGGTCAGGGTGCCGGATTCTGTTCCGGTTGCTCCTCTTCCAGTCCAGCTCTCTGCTGTGGCCCGGGAGTGCAGTGGAGGATGGCCCAAATGCTTGGGCCCTGTACCCCATGGGAGACCACGAGAAGCACCTGGCTCCTGCCTTCAGATCAGCGTGGTGCGCTGGCCGAAGCGCGCCGGCTGCGGCGGCAGTTGGAGGGTGAACCAATGGCAAAGGAAGACCTTTCTCTCTGTCTCTCTCTCTCACTGTCCACTCTGCCTGTCAAAAATAAATAAATAAATAAATAAATAAATAAATAAATAAAAAACATAATGTTAACGGTGTAAAGAATACGAAAATGACCTAGCACTCTTTATTTGAAACGTCTTCTTTGCCCCATGCTCTGCCACTTTCTTCACAAATCAAGTGTTAGTTTATTTTTGGCCATGATTTTGACTCAGTTCTGCCCCATTAGTCTATTTCTGTGTCCTTCTACTGTGCTGTCATAATTAACTTCAGTTTTTATAAAGAATTATATTTGATCTAAAAAGATCATCCTGCTTTTCCCTTTTTCCTTAATACAATCTGATTTCTTGAATTTCCATTTAAGTTTTTCAATCCAGTTTTTCAGTATCCATTTTAAAAACAGCTAACTGGGTTTTTCTTTTGTGATCTGTTAAAGTCATGACTTTTCCTCTCAGCAATGTGTGAGCTGTATTCTACAAATGTAGTACGTTGTTTTAATCTTCTTTGAATTCAATATATTTTTCTAATCTTTCATCTAATTTTCTTTTTTCCCCAATTTTTGGCTATTAGGATAAAGCTTTACTGAACCTTTGCTTATGTGAACCTAAGTTTGTTTATGTGGCGTTAATGCCGAAGAGTAAGATCATTACAACATGCTGTTAGGGCCTCCCAAGTGGCAGCTTAACACTGTACCACAATGCTGTCTAACCTCTTGTTCATTTTTTTTTTTTTTTGAAGGGCAGAATTACAAAGGGAGAGAGACAGAGAAAGAGAAAGATTTTCCAGCTACTGGTTCATTCCCCAAATGGCTGCAGTGGCAGGAGGTGGGCAAGTCTGAAGCCAGGAACCAGGAGCTTCTTCTGAGTCTCACATGTGGATGCAGAAGTCCAACGACCTGCGCTCAGTCTTCTGCTGCTTTCCCAGGCCATTCATTAGCAGGAAGCTGGACCAGAAGCAGAGCAGCTGAAATATGAACTGGTGCCCGTATGGGATGCTGGAGCTGCAGGCCACAGCTTTACCCACTATGCCATGGCACCAGACCCTCTTGTCCATTTTTTCAATTTGTACACCTTTTTACTTTTGATTTTTGATTTTTTTTAATATGTTCCAGATACTAGTCCTTTTTCAGACTTACTAACCTGAAGTCTTTGTCTCATCATTTGACTTTCTCCTTTATCTGTTTCTGTAATCTTGTGTTTATCTTGGCATTCAGTCCTGGCTACTTATTTTATTTTATGTCTTTTGTTTTTAATATAATGTGAAGGATTTATAGTGTATGAAAGAGTACAAAGGTAATGTAAAGGTACAATATTCATTTTCTTGCAGGAAAAAAAAGACATTTTCTTCTGGTACTCACTGTAGAAACTAACAATCCCAGATGACCTTAAAGCAGTCAAGGTTAGAGGGCCAGTTTTTTTTGCTGGTTTACCACTATTCTAGGGTGTAGTTCTATACCCAACTTTAGTCACTTGGGTTTTTCTAAACTCTGCCCTTTTGATGGGCTCGGAAATTAAAAATTTTCTTGGGGCTGGTGCTGTGGCGTAGTGGGTAAAGCCGCTGTCTGCAGTGCTGGCATCCCAGCAATGGCATCCCATATGGTAGCCGGTTCAAGTCTCGGTTGCTCCACTTCCAATCTGGCTCTCTGCTATGGCCTGGGAAAGCAGGCAGAAGATGGCCCAAGTCCTTGGGCTCCTGCATCCAGATGGGAGACCCAGAAGAAGCTCCTGGCTCCTGGCTTCAGATCTGCACAGCTCCGGCTGCTGCAGCCAATTGGGGAGTGAACCAGCGGAAGAAAGACCTCTATCTCTCTCTCTGCCTCTCCTCCTCTCTCTGTATAACTGACCTGCAAAATAAATAAATAAATATTTAAAAATTTTTTCTTGAACTTCTAAGTCATTCAACTGCTTCTTACAAACCATGTCCATGGAAGAAGAGATGTCCAAACACCAAAATCATCTTACTAGGATTTCTTCTTCACATTCAATGGTAATTTATTGGTGCTTATCTTAATTTTCCTTTGTCCTCACAGAGATGCTTAGATGTTGGTTTGTTTAGTTGTTCTTTAGTAGGAAATTTAGCTTCTTAGTGCAGATGAAAATGCTAATAAATTTACATAGGTAGTTTATTTTTTTTGTATTTAATCAAGAGTTAACATTAAAATGTTTATTTTAATTAAATACGATATTTAATTAAATTAATATTAAATATTAGATTTAAATAAGAAATTTAAAATGAGATAGAATTTTTTAATCACTGATTTCAACTGGATTACATCAGATCCATTTATTCTGATCCTTAATTATATCAGGGAAAATGGTTTTTTTGGTATTTTCAAATTTTAAAAATGTATATGCAATGTATAGTTTAAATTGTAACATCTTGTCAATTAAGCCTTTCCAATTCCTTGTGTGGCTTTTCCATTTGAATAAAGCATTTAATGGTAATTCTTTTTCCTTCTTTTCTTTACTTTTACCTATATTTATAGATACAGCAAGTTTTTCTTTAGCAGTATATCAACGGATATATTGCTGTTTAAAAAATCATAATCTATATTTTAGTTTGTTGTTATATATCATTTGCATATAATGTATTGACTGATACAGTTTGTTATGTTACCAATTTGGTAGTTGTTGAAAAAGAAAAAGATTCTTTTCCTTCTATTCTTTATTTTCTTCTTCTTCCTATGCAGTCTGTTGGTTAATGAAATTTTTTTATTCTTTTACTTTTTCTCAAATAT